GGGTCAGAACGGGCTCAGGCTGGGCCCTCGCTGGGGGACACTTAATGGGGCACAGACTGAATAAAATCCGGTGCTAGCTGTGACTATGAGCCCAAGGCCACACAGTAGGCCAGGGTAGGTAGCATCGAGCCCTCGGAAGGCTTGCAGGCTGGAAACAAGGGCCCTGGATTCAAGTTCTGGCTCTGTCTACCTGGTCTTGGCTGTGGTGTCACCCCTGTGTGTCTGGTTCTGCTCAGCTGTAAGGGGACACGGGGGTGGGGGGTGGGGGCAGGAAGGGCAGCCCGAGGGGACAAGATTCCAGAGTTTGCTCCTCAGTAAAGAACTCAGGTTTGCCTTCCCAAGTATGGATGCTTAGGGCTTGGCCCCGGGAAAAACTGCTGGTCAGAGCCTAAGACCTTGGGGACTGTTCTAAGGATCCTGGGAACCGGGTGGGAGAGGTTTGCTAAAAGAACAGAAGATTCTGGGGTAGCTAAATGAGGATGGTCCCTGATGCCTGCTCTCTACCCAAAGTGTCTATTCTGGTGACTATTACAAGCCATCTGGGCTTGGGTGTACTTTAAAAGTAGGAAAGGGAAGAAAATCAATGGGATATGTTTTTTCCTTGCTTGCAGAGTCTGAGCCTACTGATAATTTTCCATTGGCCAGTTAGGAGCGGCACAACCCTAAAAACAGACTCCTTCTGAATTCCCTTAGTTTACAATAATGAATTCCATGACTCATTATTATTCTTTTAAAAAAGAAGCACCAGGAAGAACAAACCAACCATCGTGATTTCCTCGCCCCCTTCTTTCCCGATTACTCGACTGTCACACGCTCTTACGGTGTTTGAATCAAGTTAAATAATTTTACGAATTTTGGAATCAATCCATTGATCCCTGTGTTTCCACACCTATTATGTGCAAAGCGCCTAAGGAGAGTCGAACTGGGAATCTGACTTGGGGATTCTGGAGTGACAGGTACAGTGTGAAGCCACTTCACACTTAGCACATCCAACCCGTGAAGGTAAGGTTATCTGGGAAAGGCCGTTGGCATTCCTAAAATGAAAGATACATACTTTCCTTCTGGAGAAAGTGAGAGGGCCATGGCTGAACGCAGCACGGAGCACTCACTACCTCTCAGGCCAAGCAAAGGGTATGCAATTATGAACTTGGCAAAGCCAGTTCGGGAAGAGCGAGACACTTCCTGCTCAAAGACAGCAGGGATGTAGAACGGGCAGCGGCGGCACCGGGAGCAGGCAGCACGTGTAAGCAAAGACAGGAAGAGCCGTAGATGGAAAAGGAGCTCGGAGATGCAGCAGAGAGAACGTAACTGTCCAGAGAGAAAGATTTCTGCCCTGCTTCGAAGCAAGGAAAGGGGCGTGGGAGAGGGAGGGCGGTCTCTGCTATAGACCACGTTGTACCGCCGCTGGCCCCTCCTCTGCGGGGCTGGAAATCCTCTGGGGGAGATGTGGGGGCTCTGGACAGGGGTGGGAGGAGGCGCAGGAGAGAATAAACACAGCATGAATTTCTTGCTGCCCCTGGAGACAATGATTCCTTTCGGTGACAGCAGAGGTTAATATCCTGAGCAGCAAGCCACAGCGCGGCCCAGAGACACCTCTCTCGGAACAGCTGCTTTAGTGTCCTGTTGTGGATTTTATTGAACTATTCCCTGAAAGGGCCAATTCATCTCTCCATTTAGAGGCTCTTAGTGCAGCTTTCCTGAAAAGTTCAAGGACTTCTATCACGATCCACCTGTCTGTATCCATCTGCAGACTGTCCCACCCGCCTCGATCCCACTGAAGACCCCAGTCTACTAGGAATTTCAAGTTCACACACAGAGACACTGCTACTTACACTGCACCAGGAAAAAAGAAAAAATAAATGTTGTAGCTTCTTCTCGATGCCCCTCGTCTCCCACTGTGTGCCTACCCCTAACAGGACAGGTGGTCCTGTCCCTCCTCATTCTTGAGCAGACTGATTCACTTCAAAAGCAGCAATCGAGGCAGGGAGATATTTGCTGATTCCAATTTTCATCAAGAGGTGAACGGGGGGGAAAAAAAGCATCTCAGAGGACAAAAAGCCCCTGTGAAAACCTGAAAGCAGCAGAGATCAGAAGCGGGCAGAGTTGGTTTTCCATTTGCAGTCATCAAGAACATCTTGGGGAGATTTGAGGTCTCTTCACAACTTTTGGGGTATGGGCAGCAAACACAATAAAGAGGTGACAGGGGAATCTTTTCTGACAGTCCGATTTTTCACACGCAAGAACCCCCAGAGACTGGGGGAAATGTAGAGAGCTGACAACTTGGTCTCCATAAAGGCTGACCCTATTTTGGATGCTCCAGAAAGCAAGCACAGGAACACGGCACAAGAACCATCTATGCCAACCTTCAGAAATAAGTGCTCTTGCAGCCTTTGCAGCCTTCCACAGTAAGTGGCTTCAGATCTTCAAACCACTCCCTAGATGGCTAAGGCCCGACTTCCTGGGGCGGTCCCAGGCCCGCGAAGGCCCGTATGGACAGATGCGTTGGAAATTGAAGGCCGGGTCGCACCGGGGCCCCCGGGCCCCCACTCTTCCTACCTGGGCCTTGGCCACAAGTGGAAAAGGAATAGCCTTTCTGAAGGGAGTCTGGTCCAGCCCTCCCCTCACTGCTCGGAGGCCCCAGGCCTGGGAGATGGGCCAAACCCACAGCTCTGGTACGCACCACACACCCCTTGGGAAGTGTTGTAATCCTAACCCTCTCAGAGATGATTCAGGGTGGGGTGTGGTGTGGAGAGAAAGTGAAAGGGGTGGGTAGCACATTTGGGGATGCAGACACCAGACAGATGGAATTTAAATGAAAATACTGAAGCCTTTTAATACACTAGTGATCCAAAACCACTTCTAGTCCACTTTTCTTCTGGGGATTATAAAATGTTTCCAAGATCACAAGATGAAGAATTTGCAAGTAAAGCCCTGATAAGAAAGTATGTTTATACCAACTTACCAATTTCTGAGTCTATTTCTCCTGACATAACGTTCCGTCTTTCCTATAATTTCTTGGCTGCATATCTCCATCCATCTAACTAACATCCAAAGAAGGCAAATTGCTACTATGATCATTTCCCTAAAGCAACTCTCATTCACTTTGCTTTTCTTCTCTTTTGGAATAAAAGTCTGCCATAAATGTTTAATTAAATGGAAGCCTTTCCACTGTTAATGACAAGCTGCTTGAAAGGCTTTTCATTCTTTAAGGACGGGTGTGTTTAAAACGGTCCCTATTAATTTCCTGATATTGATTCCCCGGCTGGGGAAGAGCATAGAGTATTCAGCATACAGCTCTTCTGCAGACTATGTTCAAGGCAGCGATTTGGATTGAGAAAGGGCACCAAATGCAGTATGCGTCAAATAGACCATCGCTCAATGAAGTCACTTAGCTATTCAAAACATGTTCAGCCATCACTCAACCGCTCGCACCACGAATGTTGGGGGGGGGGGGCACGAACCTGGTGCTCTTTCCCAGATATAACCCTTTCCCAAAGAGCGGCTTTTGCTCACTTTGGGTTAGACCCTGGGGCCACATCAGTTTCTCCCTCTGCTGTCCGTTTCCCTCTCTTCTCCCCCATCTCCCGGCTTCAAGTCCTTGCATCACCATCCCACGGTGAGCTTAACAAACAATTCTGCAGTCCCCACTTCCCAGCGCTGCCTCAAACGGCCTCCGGTATTGGTTCATGTCAGAAGCAAAGCACATAAGCCTTTCTCTCCACATAGAAACGCGTATCTCTCATGCACATCCTTCTATGGTAGCAGTAGCTTGTACATACACATATATATATATGGATGGATATATACACATAGCCATTCGAATGCAGTCCCTCATATGAAAGTCTGTTGCTAAATTCAGGTTGTATGACCTGCAGGAGTTTTTTTTTTTTTTTTTCTGTGTTTCTAAATGTGGCTCAGAAGCACATGCCTTTAGCTGTGTCCTGATCTCCCAGGCTTCTCACTGTGGGGACCCCTTTGGCCACAGCCCATGCACAGGCACACATGTCTCAGTGACCCTGCAATATTAAGGCAAACAGTTGACACCCCAGTTCACAGCCCCCCCCCCCCCCCCCCCCCCCCCCCCCCCCCCCCCCCCCCCCCCCCCCCCCCCCCCCCCCCCCCACTCCCTCTCTCAACCTCCCCAAGCCCTCACCTCCCTCCCAGCCTCCCCGCACAATGTCTGGTGCTCAAGCTGGCTGCAGTGCCGACTGTACTCGCTTCTGGATAACAGACATGTCACTCTGGGTGGAAGTGAACTGGCTCTCAGCCTAACCTGCAAGTGAACTGCTGTTTATTAGAACTTGGGCTTGTTTCCTGTGAGAGACGTCTGTATTTTTAGGCTTTGTAAACGTTAAAACACACACATACACACACACGCAGCCAGTCGCCCCGAAAGATATGTGTGGCTCACAGACATTACGAAATGCTCTTGAACTCAGCTTGAGATCCCGGAATAATTAGGATTTACCAAATAAGGATTCTTAGAAACAACAGATTTTTTTTTTAAAAAAAGGAGATTCGCAGATGATGATGTGTCTGGGACTTTTGGGGAGTAAGGGGAGGAGGAGGGGGGAAAGGGAGAACATTTTTGAATTCCTCATTGCGAAAAGAGGAGCAATGTTGACAGAAGCATTTATTCCCCCCCCCCCACCTTGTAGATGGCAATGCTACACCAAATGGCAAATCCTAATGACTCCAAAGCAGGCAGAGCTCATTTGACTTTAAAAGACAATCTCTTGTTTTCATCACATCACAGATTATTCCAATGAAGAGGTTTAGGGGAAGGGGGGGGGTGGCGGAGGCTTGAGAGTTGAGTATGGCTTTTGCTTATCGATTTTCTTTCCTCTGAAACTAACCCAACCAACCTTGATCTGTGGTAGGAAGGAGTGAAGTAAGAAAATGGTGGAATGTAAAGGGGACTTATTTGGAGGAGGGTGGGGAGGGGGAGTGAAAAGGGGAGGGGTGAGGTGGAGAGGGGGAGGAGATGGGAAATCAAATACCTTCTAGGCAGCAGGTTCTCCATAATCCAGAATGGGTCATAACTTCCTCGTTCTTTTTGCTGGTTTCATTCTCACTGACACTTTTGGTTTTGCAAACCCCTCTGGAGTAGAGCCAATAGTCGGTTCCCACAGCTATGGTCATCAGACTGAAGGCAGCAAAAGCACCAACGGTGGTTAAAAGCATTTGAACACCTCGATCAAACAGCCCCATAATTCTTCATTATATAAACACCCAACCGACTTCTGGTTCTCGGGAGAGTGTGTGTGAGGGTGCGAGTACTAAAGCAAAAAAATAAAAATAATTCCACTACTAATATAATGGATATATGTGTGAAGAGAGAATATGGAGAGGTATAAAAACAGGGAGGTAAGAAAGCTCACGGAAAAGAGTGTAAATTATAAAGATCACACGGGAAGAGAGGCTTGCCTTTTGAGATCAGAAACTGTTCCAGTTGCAGTAATTTTTTTTTAAAAAAAGGGAAAAAAAATAAAAAGACACCCCCCACCCCCCCAAGTGAGATGCCTTAATCTCTTTTCCTAAAATTCTGGTCTCCAGTTTCCATATGTGATAGCTAATTTGGAGATGGCTTCCACAGTGAACCAGGGAACAGCCGCATTCTCAACATAATCTCTCATGGTCGGGACCTAGACAGTTAGAGATTGTAAAAGCCGGGATGCAACCTTCAGTCTTCGTTCTCGGCTCTGCGGCCTGCGCCATGAAAAATCCTTTGCTTCGCCAGTTCTCTTCCTTGGGGGGGGGGGGTGGGGGGGTCTCGAGCGCTTTCGTTTCAGACCAGACTTCCCAGTATTCTGTAAGCCCTTGATCTCAGCTGAACAGGTGCGGGGGTCTCGCCTTCCATGGTTTTGCCCCGGCAGCGGCAGCGGCGGCGGCGGCAGGGCGGGCAGGCACGGCGGCGGCGGCGGCGGCGGCGGCGGCGGCAGGACTAGCAGCGGCGGCGGTTATTGTTGTTGGTGGCGGGGGTAGTGTTGGCGAAGTGGGGGAGGGAGGGGGTTTCTCCCGGAGAATCGAGGCGGGTTTCCCTCCCCCTATCTGCAAAGCTCCTGGAAACGAGGGAGCCGGCGTCTTGCTGCAGGATGGGCCGCCCGCCTGCCCCCCCACTCGCTGCCGGCTCGGCCCCCGGCGGAGGCGCTCCCACCTACTGCATTACCGGGTGGTGCTGAACTGGACAGCTCCCTGCGCCTCCCGCTCCGCGCGCGCCCCGGCTCGCTGGGCGGCCCGCCAGGAGGGGGGCGCGGGCCGGAGTCCTCCCTCCCTCCGGGGGCGACAGGGCCAGGGCAGAGCCGGGGCTGCCTTTCCTCTTTTTACCCCTCTCCCCAGTCCTAAAATGAGCGCTCTTCTGGGCTCCCGGAGCTCGGAGGAAGGCGTAGCTAGAGATAGCTTGCTCCCTCTCCCTCTCCCTCTCCCTCTCTCTCTCTCTCTCTCTCCCCTGCCCTCCCCCCTTAGTGTTTCTTCCAGCTCAGCCTCCTTCTCATTCCATCTCTACGTGCCCAGAGCTTCAAATACAACCCTCCCATCACAATCAGATGGGCACAAAACTTCAACCAGCCGTTTCTCTGCCTGGAAGCGGTGAAAATATAGCCTGGATGGGTAATTACAAACACGGTCTATATGTGTTTTGTAGATCGTCGTTTTCACTTTGCTGTTTGGGGGAATGTGTTTTGTTTTATGTTATTGGCACGGTCGGTAGCCGCGTCTCCTTTTAGCCGGTCCTCTCTCCGTCTCTTTGTCTCTCTTTCCGGCTAACGGGGTGTGCAGTGCACTGTGTGTGTGTCTCTCTCTCTGTAGTTTTCCGTGAAATTCCGAATCTGCTCCCACGAGCAGACATTTTGGAAAGATTATTCATGGAAAAGGGTGCGAAAGGGTGCCTGGTAGCCGGAGCTGGGGCAATGATTTTCATCTCAAGGATAAACATGTTTGCGGGGGAAGTGGGTGAAATGTGAATCCTTCTAAGTTTCCTGTCATTCATAAACTGGGTTGGAAGAGATAAAAATCTCCCTGCCGTGAACACTGAAACACATCACAGCCCTCCCCTCTTCCTCAGCAGAATCCTTATGCTGGGTTAATTACAGTGTTACCTCTTATTCCTATATGTGCAACTTTTCCTTAATGTGACTCCTGGAGAAAGAAGCCCATCAGATTCCTGCTGCTATTGATTACGTTTTTCTCTGATCAGTTTCGTAGTTAAGTGAGAGCGCATGAGGCATGATGTAAGTGCCCTGTGTTTTCATTTTGGGGGGGAGGGCCCCGGAGAGAGCTCTGGGTCTGGTGCGCCAGTTGGGGGTTAGAGATGTCTTAATTTCATAACTCAGTTATTCCATACTTTCTTCTCTTTCCCTCCATTTTTGTCTTGAGATCATTTGTTTGACAATATCTCAGTGATTCGGTGATTACCAAAGAGGATATGATAGATGACTGGATTAAAAACAGATTTTTTTTTTTTTTTTTTTGGTGTTGGTTACCTTCTTTCCCTTAGCTGAGAGTTGGTCTGCCGGGTAATCTGTGCGTACTGTTTGGCGTAGAAAAACTACCTGTTTCTCCACCCTGCATAAAACTCCCTTTTCTCACTCTCTGCTCCTTTCTCAGAAGAGAAGGACTCCTATGAGGGGTGATTGCTGTGCTCCTGGCATCTGGTAGAGAGTCCTGGTGTCCAGAGAACAGACCCACAATTGCAGCAACTTCTGCTAAGGTACCTGGAGGGCATAGCAAGACATTTGCAGACTGAAGTTTTCTCCAGTCTGTGTCTCTCCCTGTGAGGACGGGGATGGGAATTGGGGTGTGAGATGGGGATGCTGATCCACTGAGCAGGGAGCTTAGCAAATTCAGCCAGGGGTTCAAGTGCGTGATTCTCTTGGCTCTAGTCCATAAGGAAAAAGTGAAGGGCAGACAGGAAGGCCTCTTAGACGGGTTAGGCCTTTTGGGGGGACTGGAGAGAGGCTTGTCTGAAGGCACACGACAGGCTTGACCAAGCTTGCCCTCACTCCTGCTTGTCACCTGTGGTTGCCTCTGACCTGTCCAAGAAGCCCCTTCACACTAGAGGCAGAGCCCTCCTTCTTCCCTCTCCCATCACATTTCAGACCAACCTGTGGATCTTTTGCTTAAATGCAATCAGTAACAGAGGCTCAGAAACTTCTGTTTGTCCACAGAGGCTGCTAACATCTTAGCCACTGACCGTAGCTACAGATTTGCAGTGTTTGATTAATCTCCTGGCCAGGTAATCATTGAGAGAAGGAAAGAGGGGTTAGGGGAATGGAACAGCTTTAGGCCATCAGTGTGGAGGAAATAGACTTCTGGAGACACAGTTTGCCTCTGCTGCTTAACAAATGCACTCCAAACAAGTGGGCTTCATAGAGCCTTGGTTTTACTGTATGTAAAACGAGCGCATTGGGACCTGCCCCTTCCTTTCTGAAGTTGTTCCTGGCTTCTCCCTGCTTTTCACCCCTGCCACCGCCACTGTGCTCGGGCTTCTACATCCCCTTTCTAGCACTTAATCGTGCCTGCGTCATCGCCCTTGCTGACTTGTGAGCCCTTGAGGTCAATGCCTGTGTCTTGTTCATCATGATGACCTGGTTCCTAGTGTGCAGGACTTGATACATAGCCGGTGCTTGATAGCAGTGGCAGAGTGATTACAGTGAGGATTAAATGGTACGAGACAGGTGATGTGCCTGGCACATAGTAGGCACTTAGTAAATGTGATTTTCCTCCTTCTCTTTCCCGCTTTTATATCCAGTTGGGTGTCTCGCTTCCTTGATCTAACTCCTGTTCCGCGCCCCACCCCCCCTCGCCGACCTAGCCTACTCCTTAGGTCCCTTCTGCGGCCCAGACAAGGCTCCCTGGGAAGAGCTGGCTCAGTGTGAGCCGCATTCGATGGCTTGGACACACCAGGCATACATACTTAGCAGCTGCTGAATGGGCGCTCTTAGGGAAACAGCTTTGTGTGCCTGCAGTCGGTTACTTGGGAAGGGCTTAGAGGAAATTAGCTGAAATGCCACAGGCCTATTTTGAGCTCCTTCTTTGATGGAGTGGAAACAACATGGGATTTGGACACAGCAGACCTGGCCTGGAGGCACCAAGCTGCCTTTTCCTCACTTTTGACCTTGGGTAGTCTCTTAACCTTTCTGGAAACCTCTTTGCATCTGTCAAGGAGCATCGTGGAGGGCCCTTACCTTGTGGTTGTCAGTATTATATGTGAACAGCAGTAATAAAAGCTGATGAGCCAGACACTGGTCTAGGCTGAATCTCACAATAACGCTACGGGATATGTACGATCATTATTCCCATCTTACAGATGAGGAAACCAAGAAGCGTAATGGGTTAAGTATCCAGCCTAAGGTTGCCCAGTTAGTGAGTGGGAGAGCTGGGAGTCAAGTCCAGGAGCTGGCTTCAGAGCCCATGTCTTAACCACTGTATCTTGACCCAAGATATGGACTTTCTGAATAAGGATATTACATCAAGTTTACTGACTTCTCATCCACATCCACAGACTTGGTGTGCATTAAGGGAGTGACTTCTAGGTGCTTGCTGTTTGCACAGAGATTCTTACACTTACCTTTCCAACAACCCTACAAATGTGTATTACTCTCTTATCCTACAGGTGAGTAAGAAGAGGCTCAGAGAGGTCATAGATCAAGTCCCAAGGTCATATATCAAGTTAGCCTGAACAGCAGAGACTTGAATACTTTGCACTGCTTCAAGCTTGACTAGGTCTAAGTCCCAGAGTTTATTCACCTGTTCATTTATTCCTTCAGAAAACCAAGCACCTACTATGTGTCAGGCACTGTATTAATTCCTGAGGGTATTGAGCAGGCAGACACGGTCCCTTCCTCCAAGGAGCCAAAGACAAGTGGGAGGGGCAGACAGGTAAGGAACAGCCATGTCAAAGGTGAGGGGAATGTTAGGTGATGGAGGCTGTGGGGCCACGGAGTAGGGAGACCAAACCCAACCCAAGGGATAAAGGACATCATCCCAGAGAGCAAGGCATTTAAGCTGAGACGTAGGAATAGGAAAGAGTTAGCTAGGCCAGGACGGGGGCGGCTGAGAAGAGGAAGAGCCTTCTCGGCTGAAGGGAACAGCATGTGCCAAGGTTTGAAAGTACGCACGGGTGGGGAAAGATGATTGGCCAGTTTTAGGGAAAACATGCCAACTGTGGCTGATCTAAAGACAGTGATGGGGAAATGCTTTAGGCTAAGAACCTGGAGGCCTTGGAAAGGAGGTTGGAGCATGGGAAACATCCCAGGGGACGCGGTGGGGCAGGGAATGTGAGAAGTGAAGCTGGAGACAGGGAGAAAGCAGGGCAGCTGTGGTGAGGCTCCAGGCTATCGACGGTGGTGGCCTGGACCAGTGGTGGCAATGGGGATGGAAAGAAGTGGAGATGCTGGGGGGTACTGGGGAGAAAATTGATGGACATTGGCGCGCATTATAGAGACAGCCACTCTGAGGGAGAAGCAGGCTGGAGGGGGGTGGGGGGCTGCAAAGGGGGTAAACTGAGAACCCTGCTTTGCTCATGGGTGT